TAAAATGCGCGCCGTTATCTCTAGAACGGATCTATCGCAGTCCAACCGATGATGACGACCCGTTCGCTAGGCCGCGAGTAGCTAGCCGAGTCAGGCCGGCCTGTGATTGGTCGGCCGAGTCACGTGGTTTGGAGAAAAGTGGAGGGGAGGGGCTGGACTGGGGTGCCGGACTACCTACTGACGGTCCACAGTGCTACCGACGGGAACACTCCCGCCCTAGAGTTCTTTCCCGGCATTGGTCTGTCAATGTCGTTTCAGCTGGTAGGGCTATCTTTACCCCAATTGAGGTGGCAATTGGTTTGTTTTTTTATTGGTAACTTTGATATTTTGCTAGTTTTTGTTCCACCTGTGGCCCTCTGTAGGCTGGTCACTGTTTCTGCGGATGAGTCGCGGAGCGGTTGCTGTGTTAACTCAGGGGCGAGTAGGTGATGGATCCTCGACGGCGCTGGATTACCATCTCATAGCGAAGAGATGATCCTGGCTGAGTTTTCATAGGGGGCGTTTGTGTGTCCTAGTAGCGGAGGTAGGGATCGCCCTGAAGGGACGTCACCAACATCTACCATTCAGAACGCTGAGTAATCGCGGAATGGTAGTTTCACTTTAGGGGTGCATCCTCAATGTTCCTGGGTTTTGTTCCCGAAATTAAACTTCAACTTCAACATTTTGGCTTCATTCGTTTGTGTAGGGTTGGGTTATAGACTACGGTATTCTCACCCTTGTTCCGAAGGCGCAGTATTTCGCTACCTAGCGGCGATTCGTGGAACCGTCCTTAGTGTTTCGTGCCTATCTAGGTATTCTTGCGTTTTGTGGGTTCTCTGTTAAATCGTCAAAAGACATGTTTTTTTCCTAGTAGGTTTTGGAAATATAATTACGAGGGAAAAGGTTGCTTCGACAATCTACAACTTCCAGGATGAGAAAAAAAAAGGAAAAAAAAGGATCCTCTTCGTGAGCACAGCCATTTTCCCGAATCTTCAGACAGTGATCGTGTGCCAGGCATTTCATTGAAATATTTTAGTAATAAGTATTTACTAACCGTTTTCGGGATAATTTTCATGAATGCCCAAATTTAGAGTTGTGGGCCTATTGATGCATCTGTAGCTGGTTTTGATTAGGCTAACTCTAACCCATACTGGGGATATACCGGCACGTGTACGTTGTTCAGGGATTTTGGAAAAGTGCTGTTCGATAACCTCAGGTGAGTTGATCTACTCAACTCATTGGCTGAGACTTGGAAGTGGCCATATAGTACCTCATTTCCTAATGAAACCTTCATATTCCAGACCACTAGATATCATAGCATACTGCTTTATTGATGTATCCGATGGACAGGAAAATCTGAAAAGATTGTCAAGGAAAACATTTCACACCTCATTTGAAGTTGCTTGATGAAAGACAAGTCCCTTAGGAACATTTCAATCACTGCAAGAGGCTCTTGAGAGAGAAAATAAAACCCTTCCGCTAAGAAGGTAAGCTTGGGCCATATTTATTATAACTGTGGTTTATAGATTGTTTTTCCTTCATCTTGATAGACTCTTAATAGGAATCACATTCATTTGGAATCTCAGTTGCAATGCGTAGATCTTATTTTATGAGGCTTTCAACACTTGTAGACAGCGGGCGTGAGTTCTAGTACCTTGGTGCTCCGCGGAGTTAGCTAGAATTGTGGGAGGGTGCCCAGTTAGTGCCCCGTTCTTGCAGTAGCTGCAAAATCTTGCTTAGGGCGTGATTACGAGTCGGTATCTCTCTAAATGGGAAAACCTGATGGGCGACCCTCTAGCAATCTTGGGTGGTTGGTTCGGGGTACCAGACTAGCTGAGAAATCTTCATTGAAGACATGACATTCAATTTTGTACTAGATCTCTGAACACTTCTTTCAAACATCAATTAAAATATGCAACTTCTTGTTTCCACCTCAGGTGATTTTTGCCAGGACCCTCACGGTCCTGAGACTCATAAAATTATAGATGAAGGTACCCAAAATTCTACTTCTAAGCTGGGAAATATGCTATCCTAGAAGGTATTTACTTCATATGAAAGTTATTGAATTTGAGTGGTTTAATAGAGTAATGCAATTATCTGATGAGATTTCTGGCTCAACAATATTTGAGGATGTTTTTCTCATGGCCCATAATGACAACTTCACATTATTCTTTGAGTTTATTCAGTAATACATCCATTCGTATCCGTTTGTATAGATATCAGTATGTATCTACACCTGATATTTTGATGCGGGTTTTGATGAGAACTAATACAGGGTGATCATCATAAATTTGTGAAGTTGAATAACTATGCGGGATGTTACATTCTCAAGATTGATTCCTACTCCTGATATTTTGATGAGCCTGAATATTTCTCATGTAGGACATAGTTTCAATATTTCTTTCTACTCCTGTTACTTTGATGTGAGGTGATACCGGGTGGTCATCATAATTTTGTGAGATTGAATAATTATGCGAAATATTGCAATTTCCAAGCGATATCTACTACTGACATTTTGATGAGAAGTAATACAGAGTGGTCATCATAATCGTGTAAAGTTGAATAATCAATAAAGAGTCCTCAATTGCTGCAAGAACATATTCTTTTTGAAAAGGAACTTCACTCATTTTTTTTTTGGTTGGAGAGTATCTGATAAGCTCATTGATCGAATTTCATTCACGAGTTATGCTATATAAGGGTTGGTAATATACTGGACTCGATTAAATTCATGTACAGGGTGAGCAACTTTAGTTCAGTTTGAATTATACTATTCAGTTCCTTTTTCATGGGTTTGAGGCAACTATTACAAATGGGAATACTTAGTTATCACCATTCTTTGAGAATTATACAGGGCGAATCCTTGGGGTGTTAACTTAGTGGGAACTTGGCAATTCTTATCATTATTTCTTTTCTTTTTTTTCATTGGGTGGGGGTATTCCTCGATGCAGATGATGCAGTTTTGACGGAGTATATTTCCTTTTAGGGTTTTAATTTTGGGTTTACAAATCGGCCTTCCTGTTTCGACCAGATCATAGAAGGCAAGTTACGCTGGTGGATCTTTCTGGACCATGAAGCAATGTTACACCAACAACTTGCTGTCTGACATGGACTGACACGCAAGTACAGGGGGGGGGAAATTTTACACTTGGGATTCTACTTGTTATAAGCGGATTAATTGTGTACCTTGTGCCCTTACTATTAAGTAATCTATGACATTGTGTACGACGGAAGTTAAAACTAATATTTTCAGCTTCCCAATTATTATGTCAACTCCACATTTGGGGTAACCTGCGCCTGCGCTTAAGCTTAAGCTCCGGTTTTCATGATCTAAAGAACTGGTCGCCATTATTTAATTTCCGTCCCCACTCATTAGAGGGCCTTTTGAGTTATTACTATCCTATTCGGAAATAATGAGACTTCCATGCTAGTCAGGGATCTCTATCAAGAGTTAACATAGTTAGTGGCTCATTTGTATGTATTTCATAGTCCAGGGATATTAACCTGCAATAATTACTGTATTTAGTTGGATATCTGAGATTTCTTTCCCAGTAAATAGATTATAACTGACAATTGGGTTTTATTAGTTGAATCTTTTTGACATATTGGAAGGTTTGACAAGTTGAGGATACTTTTAGATCTGTGCTTTTAGGTACTCGAATATAGGTCAATGTGTCTGGCGCCCTTTCCATCTTATTATCAGAGATACCGGTCTCTGTGATAACCCACTCCCACCTCCCACCTCTAACCGGAAGATTTTTAGGTTATATCTGGAAGAAATTTTGTTGATTTATCTCAAACCGTTTCGAACTTTTCGTCAAAAAATTATATTCAAACTCGTATCTTCAACACCCTTCATCTCAAAAACGACGCGTTAAAAAGCATATGTTAATATAAACTGTTTTTTTCATTACAACGTGTACACCACACTGTTGAATTTTTTGTATTACAAACCGTACCACCCTGTATAACTTCTCATTTCAGATATTATCTGAAAAATATATTTTGTTATATATCATCGTCGTTTCAACTGCATATATCTGACATTCTGAAATGTTATGTATGTCGGCGACCAACTCACAAATCGCCTACGCTTATGGATCTGTTTAATTCTTCTTGACAGTTTGTTTATTATATCTTATTTTATGGGTCTAGCCCGCTAGCTGATAGTTTCGGTTTTATAATAATAAATATCTAGAACACATATAAGGCCGTTTCAGGATTTTTGTTACGGGGGAAACGCGGAGGGCCGGGGGGTGCTCGAAGCGAACGACACGTAGGCTCGTAGGCCCGCTGGTCGGGGTGCTCAGTTTCTCGGGAGACGAGAAAGAATACGGATGATATAATTCGATAGAGATTTTTGATAGTGGCTAGCGCGGGCTCTACGGATCGTTTCGTTCCCTTGTCTTCACGTATCAATAGTAGATCAACCCTTTTGTATTCAGTATCGTGTTTTGTGTTATTTTATGTTCACTTGTTTAATTAAACAATGATAACTCTCAACAAACATAAGTGTCGTACTTGGTCAACATGTCTAAGCAGCTTAACCCCGAAGTCGCCCTTACTTCTCCGACATCACAAGAGGGATACAGGCTGCCGGTAGAACATTCGGACAGTGAAAGTGAGGTTCAAATTAGTGCAGCAAAAGTTCATGGACCGGAAAGTGTTGAGACCATTACAACAAATGGTGGCTACTGGAAGTGTACCAATACCAATGTTCAGTCAGATGAGACTGCCAAAGTTTGATCCGACTTCAAGGTTTGCAAACGCCGAAGGCTGGTCCGCAATTGTGGAGGGGTCGCAAAACATCGTCCTGACACCATGGACTTGATTATGTCGTTATCGCAAACTCTGATGGATGAAGCAGCTAATTGGTTTGTATCCGCTAGACCAACAGAAAGAGACGCCCATGTTGAAGGCAGAGTTTTTGTCTGTCTTTGCCAAACCGGTTGATCCAATTCAGCAATTTTCTGAAGCCGTGAATGGAAGAAAAATTCCGCAACCTGACACAACTCTAATTGACCATGTTATTCTCCATGAGAACTATTTTGTCACTGCTGAAAGATAGAGAAAGCGATGAATCCTTTGCCTTAATGGTTGCGTGTTATCACGGTGCCACTTGCGACGACTACGTGAAGAGACGTTATTTAAATGAGCGTCCAACCGATGCCAAAAGTATGTGCACTATGCTTCAGGGGCGGCTAGGTAAGCGACCGGCACTATTTCCCTCCGGTCATCACACCGGATCGAAGCGCCAAGCTGTATCACCGCCTATCAGTGATGAGAAAGTACCCACATTTTCTGGAAAATGTCATATCTGCAGACGTAGCGGTCATCGAGCTGTTAACTGTACAAATTCAGCTACTGTTCCCCAGCGTGCTAAAAGCGGAGACTTCAAAGTTACCTGCTTGAAATGCGGCATGCCAGGCCATACTTCACCGAACTGTCCAACTGTCAACCGAAAAACCGAAGAAAGGAAGGTGAACATCTGTGAACAGGAAATCTTGCCCATGGGTCACTTGAAGCTTAGATCTGGTGAGACCTTTCCTTTTTCATTCGACACAGGTCCAGATTGTTCTCTTTTGAAACAAAATATCGCCTGTAAATTTGATGGTGAACGTTTCAACACTTTGACCACTCTGAAGGGCATTGGTGGTAGCTGTTCAGCTTGTAGCCACCTAACTTCAACTGTAGTTGAAATTCAAGGCATTTTTCTTGAATTATTATTTTTTGTTGTACCAGTCAACTTTATGTCAGCCTCTATCATATTAGGGAAAGATATAATGAAACAAAATGTTGCAGTTCGCTTCAGTTCAGATGGTTTATCATTTTCTAGAGAACTAAAAGTTCAAATTTGCGAAAAAGAGTACGTGAATTTCGATAAAATTGATACCGATATAACAAAAAGTGATAGACAAAACTTGATCAATCTATTGGCTAATTTCCGAGAACATTTTGTATAAGGTGTCCCTTCTAGTACCGTAACAACAGGTAATCTGGAGATTCGTCTAAAGGATCCTAATAAAATTGTTCAAAGACGGCCTTATCGATTGGCACCGGTAGAACGTGAAATAGTCAGAACTAATTGCAGATTTACTTAAAGTATGAATATTTTACTAGACATTTTCAATAAAATGCATAGAAATTAATTGATTTTTATTCAAGAATAGTTTGAAAAATATATTAAAGTTATAACGAGCAGGTATTAGAAACAAACGAGTAGTACCTAATCAATATACCTACGAGAAAAAAAAATAATGTATTCTGAATATAGAAAATCATATTTCTTTCTTACATCTCACCGAAACTCGCGACAAAGTTTTAAGTATAGAAGACGGTACAATACGCTAATATGTTGGATAACCGATGAGGTGTGGACCGTTTAAATTTGTACTGGTTGAGTGCGCATAGATCTAGTACATAAAACGAAAACATCAACTTGGTTCGATGGTACCAAATCCAAAACAATTTCCTAGATTCCTTTATCACGATTAATAGTGCATCTATAATATTCGGAAATAATAACAAACGAATCAAGAACGCTATCAGTCTAAATAAAGGAATGAACGGGCAAATGTTTTGCATCTTTTCCCATCAAAGTATCCTGTAATAATTATTCCTATAAAAATATGTCAGTGTCTAGGTCATTTAGTCTGTTAACTCATAGAGGACGCGGGTATATTTGTTTCGAATTTTATATCGTTTTCGGAGCCCCGTTATACCGGCTTCGGTTATGACTGTGTGTTTTGTTTCAATTATAAAGGATCGGAATGAATAAATTATCGCGGCGGCCGAGCTACACCTCATTAAAATGTTAATTTAATTGACTGGTTCGCTGCGGGTACCGTTATTGAATTTGACCATTTCTTCGGACGGTCATCAGTAAACTAGACTTACTGATTTTTGATATCACTAAATTTTTGTTTCATTATTTATATGAATATTTGTTGTGATTACCAAATGAATAGTTATTCTACCTAGGTATTGAACAGAGAACACTGCTGTTATGTATTTTTTTATATTTATTCAAAATTAACTATTTTACATTTGTATATATTCTAATGACGGCTTCTACCTTTTTTATTGCCTGATCCACTCTGTGCATGTCGTCCCCAAGCAGATTCACGAAAGTTCTGAAATGAGCAATTCTTTTCGACATGCACACTCTTTGCCCTTTCAAAATGGATAGGCGGTTATTCGTATTTTTCAAGAATTTCTTCTGCCAGTCCCCATCCTCCTTTTCCAGGTCTCCTTTTTGTTTCGTAACACACCCCCGAAGCATATCTTCCAGATCCTCATCCAGATCACTCATGGGTGGTTGGGCGGTCATACCTGGTTGGTGCTGGGTGGTCGTACCTGGTTGGTACGGTTCGTTAGTGGCTGCTTGGAACCGAGCCTGGAACTGGTGGGTTGTACCTGGTTGGTGCTGGGTGGTCGTACCTGGTTGGTACGGATCGTTAGTGGTTGCCTGGAACTGGTGGGCTGTACCTGGTTGGTGCTGGGTGGTCGTACCTGGTTGGTACTGATCGTTAGTGGCTGCCTGGAACTGGAGGGTTGCAGCTGGTTGGTGCTGGGTGGTCCTACCTGGTTGGTACGGATCGTTAGTGGCTGCCTGGAACTGGTGGGTTGTACCTGGTTGGTGCTGGGTGGTCGTACCTGGTTGGTACTGATCGTTCGTGGCTGCCTGGAACTGGTGGGTTGTAGCTGGTTGGTGCTGGGCAGTCGTACCTGGTTGATACTGATCGTTATTCGTGGCTGCCTGGAACTGGTGGATTGTAACTGGTTGGTGCTGGGCAGTCGTACCTGGTTGGTGCTGGACAGTCGTGGCTTCTGGTGCCTCCTGCATCGTGTCGTCCAGTATGTGGATAATTTCAGTTACCCTCACCTCAGTATTCATCTCAGCCAGCTCGTCTAAGGACATTGAGAAACTCATTGTGTAAAAAAATTAAAAAAATAAATGATATAATAATAATAGTGATGGAATGTTCGTCGAAGCGAAGTGAAGATGTGATCGGAGAATCGTATTTTTATATGATTTCGGCAATACAGTGGTAGTGGAACTTGTCCTGTTTGTATGCTGCGGTCAGAAGCGGAAAATAGAATTGAAGAAATTTGAAACATGTTTCTTGTGCAAATTTGATTCAATGTTTTATAAACCATGTATGTATTATTTTGATTTTCTGAAACTATCATTTGTCAAGATATTTGATCCCATCATTGTGACCTGAGTACTTTTTTTTTTTTTTTTCGTCTGATGATGGACTCGAACTATACCAATTGTTACTTTTCTATATACTTTCACGGAAAAATGTTCCTCAGGAATCTTTACTATCATTCCATCACTAGCAATACCAGTCAGACGAACTCGACAGGTCCAGTCAGTACATCCTTTTGTTGTCAACCTTGAAATATGTTGAACAACACTATACCAAAACTCGTTCGTCTATAGAAAGGCAAATCCTTGGAATCAAGAAGTCATAACCTTCACATATATTCTCCTTAAGTACGCACAATGTTCTTCGAACATCATAGGAATGTCATTTCGTGCGCTCCCAAGATATAAAAAAAAATATTTTCGTTGTTTGTGATGCTTCAATTTACAGACTACTGCAGAACCACCTATATTATTTGTTGATTTTCAAATACATCAGAATGAATTGAAAAGAGACATTTTTTTGGTAGTTAAAATGATGTGATTCAAGGTGAAAACATAATTTTCAATAATGAAAGACACATGCGCCAAGTATGTTTGATTCGAAATTTCCAACACACTTCTTGATTAAGTTGAAATTATTTTCCAACCACAGTATTTCTGATGAAAAATGTTCATGATTTCTTAAGTCAAAGCTCGAATAGTTTCAGTGGAATAATATTGATACGATAATCGTGAAAAACTGTCATCATTGAAGTTTGAGATATTTTTCACCTTCGATTCTTACATTAAGAAATGCATTTTTGTACAAATAAAATTTTTTTTTGACTTTAAATATACTTACTGATTGGAGTATTTTTTTTTGTTGTCCTTGTTCTGCGGTACTCTCATTCAGAGACTACCAAAAGGTTACTTATATTATTGTTGATTTCGAATACATGAGAATAATTTGTATAGAAACATATTTCCTGGATTTCCCAAGGCATTGTTCGAAGTTGAAATAAATCATAGTGAAAACTGTTATTTTCAAGTCGGAAACATTTCACATTCAGATCCAAGATCTTCAGTTTTTGGGTAGATACTTATTCTTGTGTCTGATAGCTGTTGAAATTCCTATACCATTTTGAATTTTTGTTTTGCTTTTCCTTCGGAAAATACTTGGTCACCTATTTTAATGAATTTTGATTACACGAGAAAAATTGCATATAAACAATGAAACAATAGTGTTAGATTATTTTTATTATCGTAAATACCGTTGGCTGTGAAAAGTCGTTTTGAGGTCGTGCCAATGACCAGTTGTGAGAAAATAATGACCTCCATTGGAGACTACCGACCGATAAAAAACAGACGATCGGACTTGAGAAGTCGTTCTGTGAGAAAATGATGTCCTCGACTGGAATTCATCTCGTACCAGTCGGTGTAAACAACTCGTTTTGACCGCAAGACTAAGTCGTTTCATCTATTTGAAAACAGGTCACTGCTCGAATCCGTTGGCTGAGAAGAAGTTTTTTCGATGTCGCACCAATAATCAGTCGTGAGAAAATAATGACCTCGCGACTAGAGACCATCAACCGGTAAAAAATCGATCAGACATGAGAAGTCTTTATGTGAGAATATAATGACCTCGATTGGAATTCATCTCGATCCAGTCGGTGAAAACAACTCGTCACGACCGCAAGACTAACAAGTTTCATCCATTTGAAAACAGGTCAAGAGAAGTCGTTTCGAGATTGTGGTTATAATCGTCTTGCATCATTAAGAGTTGCCGTTAAATTATGCAGAAACTGAACTCGGAATGGAACACCTGAATTTTTACCCACGTTTTGGAGATGGTCGATTCCCAAACTAGTCTCGCCGCTTGTGTTTTCTCATTGTGAGGTCACATTATTCCCACAAGAAGATACAAGAGATATTTTCTCAATATATAATACTTTCAAGAAATGAACAAGTATGTTTGAACATTCTAGTGAATGAGTCAACCCCCACCCCAACCAATCGAATTAAGCTTTATATATACCTCAAATATAATATCAGGGTTCAAGTAATAGTTCCAGTTTCATTCGTTAAGTTCAAGTGCTTCAAAATGCAGTGCTCACAATGTAAAAAAGAATTTTCTGCAAGAAAAGGTTTATTACGTCATTTGAGAGCGAGCCAACATACCAATGGCTCTCAGGGTGAGTCGTCGAAAAATATGAAAATGATACCAAAAGCTGAAATGTCACGAAAAGTTGAAATTAAGCCTATTATTCGTGGAAATCAGGGGTTTCAAGTGGATATATCAGCACTCAATATTAGAAAAAATAACAGGAATGTTTTGGAGAAACGAGCTGATGGCATAGAGAAAATAAGTAGTGCATTCAAATGCCGAATTTCGAGTTACAGGTTCTTAACAAAACATCATCATATCGATCATCACGAATTTTTTGATGATATAAAGAATAATGTTTTTTCTGTTTTGACCGAATACATTCAGAAATTTCGAGCACTGAAATTACACTTTGAATTGTTTTCGGTATACATAATACCTGAGAAAAACATCAATGATTTAAAATCCTTCAATACAAAGAACAGAATAATGACTCAATTAACCAACTTGGAAGAAATGTACGAAGATTTTGAAACAGATATCATGTCAAAGACGTCAGCTATACAGGAAAAAGACTCGGGTAAGTAAATTAATAAATTAGTGATTCTCAAATTAACATAATAATACTTCAAGGGTGGATTTTACAACATATCGGGTTCCTGGAAGTGAATATCAACAAGTACAACCCCCTTTCAGGATCCTCCTTCGTCATACTACCGAAACAAATTGAGTACAAGAGGGCTGTTTTGAATATCCAGAATAGAGATGAAAAATGCTTTGCCTATGCAGTCAACGCAGTAATTCTTGCAGCTACTGGAAACCCTCAGCGAGTATCCTCATATCCACATTATTCGACACTACTCAATTTCGAAGGTATTGATTTTCCAGTTAAGTTGAATGATATATCGAAATTTGAATCAATGAACAATATTTCGATCAACGTTTTCGGTATTGATAATTTTTTCAATGATGGTAAAATGATATATGAAGTAGTGGGACCGCTATATTTTACTAAATGTAAGAAAAATACCCATGTTTATCTTTTACTCATCACAGATGATAATGCTAACAGTCACTATTGCTATATAAAAGATCTTTCTCGATTAGTTTCAAATCAGAAATCTAAGCATAATGGTCGTTGTTTCATCTGTAACGGCTGCCTTCAATTCTTCCGCACTCAAAAAAAGTTGACTCTACATGAGAGTAATGATTGCAATTTTTTATATACCAAATTACCAACATGCTCCATGATTACAAGTTTGGAGAAGAGCTGCCTGAGAACATTCTCAAATTTGTAAATCTGGAAAAACAGCTCACGGTTCCCTTCGTTATTTACGCAGACTTTGAAAGCATTCTGAAACCCATCGAGCATAATGAACCTAATAATGATAAATCATCACTGTTAAAACATTCGAACATGTTCCACACTCATTCTGTTTCTACATCAAATGTAGCTTCGATGATTCATTATCGAAATTGATTCATTACCCTGGTATTGATGCTGCAAATGTATTTGTTACTAGAATAGAATAACAAGTTCACCAACTCTATAACAAGTATTTGAAATATCCTAGAGAAATGTTACCTCTGACAGACACACAGGAACATAATTTCAATACCAGTACAACATGCCATATTTGTGATAAACCAATTGGGGTGGGTGAGGTCAAAGTTCGAGATCACTGTCATCTAACAGGGGTGTATAAAGGAGGGGCACATTCTAGGTGCAATTTGAATTACAAAATTCCCAAATTCATCCCCGTGTTCTTCCACAACCTCACGCATTATGACTGTCATCTTTTTATAAAGAAATTGGCTTTGAATAAAGAAAAAATTGATGTTTTGCCACAAAACAAAGAAAAATACATTTCTTTTTCTAAACATATTCTAGTTGAGAAGGGTGAGGGTGAGGCAAATGATGTATACATGAAATTACGATTTCTTGATTCATTTCGATTCTTACCCGGATCTCTTGATAAATTGAGTCAAACATTGCAGTCAAACCAGTGTACTGAAATCAGGAAATATTTTCCTAATCAGGAAGAATTTTATGAAATCAGGCAGAAGGGTATTTTTCCCCTTCTCATACGTGAGTTCAATTGAGAAATTGGATGAAACAAATTTACCGCATAAAAATATTTTTTTCGATATTCTGCGTAATGAGGGAGTAAGTTCAGAAAATTACAAAAGAGCAGAAAATGTGTGGAAAATATTCAAATGTAAAACTTTGGGTGACTACTCTGATGTTTACCTCAAATCTGATGTATTATTACTCGCGGATATATTTAAAAATTTCCGTGAATTTTGTATACGAATATATAAGTTGGATCCAGCACAATACTATACAGCACCATCATTGAGTTGGGATACTATACTACTATATGTTGCGCAATACAGGTACTCAACTTGAACTAATTACTGATATAAACATGCTACATTTTTTTAGAAAGGCTATTAGGGGTGGTGTTAGCCAGTGTTC